CTTTGTGATGTGTAAAGGGATGTCGTAAACACATAACAAAGTTATTTAGGTAGACAAAGCAACTTGCTAGTTTAAAACTTTTAAAACTCCTAGAACATTTGAGATGCATTGACATTCAATGACATGTTAATCTTAATTGTGCTAAACTCAAATTTAATAATGGAGATACCGTGGGTCATTAAGTAGATGGTGCAAAACTGTTTGATCTTCGATATAAAATTATCCTCATATTGACGTGTCAGTTAGCCATACATACTCCATTAATAGAATAATTTCACGAGTGACTCATCATTTAAAATTATATTCTTGTAAATGACATGTCGGTTAACAACACATGCTCCATCATCAGAATATATCTAAAATGTGTGTTTTCATGAGTAGTACAAGACTCACGTTTTCGATTTATAAAACGGGAATATTTTGTTTTATTACTTTATTAGTACTTTTAAGATTGAAAGACAAAATCTGATCGAATCCATTCGGTCACTCCACTCTCTGAGTGAAAGGCGATGATATGGTTAGCAAGAAAAATATTAAAAAACCAACCTCATTAGGAATTAAAGAGATCTCCTTAAACTCATATTAGAGTGGGTGAGCCTAGTCTTGATTCAACCACAATGTCTTTTATTAACATGTGATGACACATGTGGTATTTTCAAGTTTTACGTATAGTAAATAATACCATATAAAAAATTTTATACTTTTAAATTTATAATATTATATTTCTACTTTAAATTTCTTATTAAATAAAGTTCAAGATAAATAATCAAATTTTATTTTAAATTTAAATAATATTCAAATTTAATTAATTAATGTTCAGATTTAATTTCAATTAAATAAAAAATTAATTACCAAATTAAGATACGTAGATTTAAAAAATGAAGATAATGTTTTAAAATAGAGGCTTATCCCCTAATTTTGAAACCACTCAATATCCCAAAACCTGAAAATTCGGGCAGGCGTGTCGCACCCTTCAGAAAGCACATCGTGCATGTTGATTAACAATTTTTTTTTTATCTTGAGCTTTTACAATGTTTTATGCTCATAATTAAAACAATTTTGATACCACTGTTTGAGATTTATGGAATCAAGTACACTATCTAAAGGTAAAAAAAAAAAAATCAAACTTTATGTTTTACTAGTATAGCAATGTAATTTGAAAAATGTCAAAAGTAAAGATTACTAACCTTATATTTACTTACTTGTAATCTGGTACGTGTCAATTTGTTGCAAGATGAAGGATCTAAAAGAGAACCCCTATAATGCAATCAAACATATACAAACCAAATAGCAAAAGGAAGAACTTACAAATTACGGTTTGTTCGAAAATCACCAACCCTAGGAGTGAGGTTGTGATTTTTGGATTTGGAGAGTTAGAGAGACAAGGATTGTATGAATTTGAGAGAAAGAATAACTGGCTCTAGGGTTTACCCTAACAATCTATTTATAGGTAGCTGTTGAAATCCCAAATATCTAGAGTTTGTCCTTATCTTATTCAAACCAACCTTATCCCTATCATAGAGATGCCAAAACCGTTCCCCTCCATGTCTCTAGAGACATCTGGAATATTTCAATTAATCCTTATGATTAATTAATATTCAACCTCTCTAATTAATTAAATCATTTTAATTAATTTATCAGAATAATTTCTAATTAATTTATTAATTTCTTAATAAATTAACACATTATTAATCCTTTTTTTATTTTATTTGAGTCATGAGTCTAACCCAAAAAGATTATCATCAATAGAAATATTATCAAAATAATTAATGACGTTAGACATTATTTCCAACAAAAAAAAAGAGAATATATAAATAGGATCCCATTAATTATACATATTATAAATGGGATCTAAACAAGAAGGAGAGAAGAATGTGGGAAGAAAATAATAATAATAATTTGTACACAACACTTTTTAACCATACATCAATCATCCAAAAAAAAAATCCAACACATTCAATTTTTTACACCCACATTTTTTCCATATTAACTAATACTAACTCGATCACATGACAATAATCCCTTATTCATTCAAGATTTGTCGACCTTAGAGTTTCTAATGATTCCAACTTCGTAGTAAAGAGATGAGCGCATAAAAACCCATATTAACCGGCATTAGGAACCATTTTATCCAAAGCTAAGACCTAATATTCTTCATAATTTTTATGACATGGTCTGCTAAATAATGTCTATTTCTTCGTTTAAAAATTCAATTATTTTAATTACTTTTAATTACCGATAGTATATGGACACTTATCATTGTAGAAACTACAAAGGAACCTTCTTTTATTAAGTAAAAAAGCATAGGGTCAACAATGTGGGTGACAAAGACATTTTTCTAGCTAATGTTGACACCTTGGTAGTTATGTATCATCTTTTTGACAAAATTGTGATCAATAATATGAATATTTCAGCACATAGAAACCAAGTATTGTGTGGTCTTTGTAATTAAAGATGTTACATCTACCCATTATACATTAATGACAATTACTGATCCTAGATCGATACCAATCAATCTAGAAAAGTGAAAAATATTGTTGCCGTGTTCAATTAGTAAGTAACGACAAGTACTTTTATTTTGTTTTTATTTATTTATTTATTTATTTATTTATTCTAGAGATTTCAATTTGATTAAAATTGTAAATACTTGCACGATAGTCGTCACACATAAAGGATGTAAATCACGATGTCATTGGAGCATAAAACATTTATATCAAGCTTAAATACTTTATTCCCTTACTGTTAGATCAAACATATATTATCAAGTTACATTTATGATGTATTCTTGACGAGAGTGTTATAAGCTTAAGATATGATGTATGTTTGAAAAATAGTTGAAGGACACAAGGCCTTAGTTACGTAGGGTGTTTGCTTGCATCACATGCGACTCATGCTACCCTAAGCAACCACCCAAAAAGAAATAATTTTATAAAATTTAAAAACTTATCAAAAATTGGAAATTGTGTTCCAATGCTTTGTGACACAAGACAACTAGCAAAGTATAACCTAAAGAAAGGGCTTTTGTCCTACTTGGCCCCACCATACAAGTCCATTTTGCTCAATGGGTCCCGCATTTTGCTTCACGTGAGCATCTCCTCCCAAAAATACAATAAATCAGCCGTTCCATAAAAAGAAAGTTCATAGTTTTGAATTCGGGTATTTTTCAATTTATGTTGTTTGCTTATTTTTCAAGTTCATGTTATGATTTTTCTATTTTGATTTATACGGAAAAAACTGCTAATCTTCTTTTTGAAAGATTTATTTTTCTAATTTTACTTATTTGCCCAATATCCACGACACCTATAATGTTTTTATGAGTTTTCTCAGTATTTCTTATTCATGGGTATTCTAGATATTCAATTATTAGTGAAAATAAATTGTTCAAATTATATGCCAATTAAAAACATTGTATTTTGTGATGAGTAATGTAAAAAAAAGGTAAATCCCACCCTTGGTTTTTTATATCAATGGATCTCAACCAAACGTATTAAATTATTATATTCTTAGAACAAGAAAGTGAGAAACATAATTTTCAGCTTTGAACTTGAGAATTTTATATCCTTACTACATGATTAAATATGTAAAAATATAAATACAAACGTCCTTAAAAAGAACAAAATAAAACACGCCTCGTGCATCCAAAACGATAAGTAGATGATCGGAAGGTGATATCTCTGTTTATTTATTTAAAATAAAAGTGATTTGACTAATAGTAAAATATTTTTCAATAACAAAAGAAAAAAAATATTTTCTATATTTCAATTAAAATAATTTGCAATAAATAGTAAAAGTATTTTTTATAACAAAAGAAAAAAAAACAAAATATTAATTTTCTCTATGTTATTTGAGTAATAGTAAAATATTTAAGAATGTTTTTTAATAATAATCAACTAAAACCTTTATATACTAAAATAAATGTTATTAATAATTTTTAATGATATTAATAAGTAAAAAATTGTTTTGATGAATTATATATTGTTAAAAAGTACAATATTTACTTTTGAAACAAATGAAATATTAAAGGATAACAACTATTGTTGTTATTTTTTATGTTTATAATGATTATATCAAAATTTCATTGGATTAAGCACGCATTTGGTAAGATTATTAAAACAATCTATAAGTTAATTAAAAAAAACTAACTAATTAATAAACTTAGGGAATTTTTTCATAAGTTTTCTAAATATATTATTATATTTTCAAGCTTTTTTAATATTTGTTTTTCTTACAATTATGTTTTACCTTTTCTAACTTTTTGACATACCTACATTCTCTTTAAATAAATTAGGAATTTCTAACAAATTTTCTATTTTTAAATACTTTTTCATTTCTCTCTTATCTTCTTATGATTTTCTTCACAAAATTTCATAGTCAAAGTTGTAAAAAAACATGTAAAAACTCATTGTTTTGCGTATATGCTTTCACAATATTAAAAAAAATGTTGAAAAACTTAGTAAACAAAATTGTAAAAATAAGTTAGGCAAAAAGTTGCCAAAAATATAATTTTAAAAAAATTGTAAAATAATATATTTGTTATAAAAAAAATCAACAGAAATAACTTTTTAGGATTTGTCTTTGATATAATAAAGTGTATAAAATTATGTTTTATGAACATTTGAAATAGTTTGTTAACTAAATTTGGTGTTAATTAACCCGTTTTGAATTATATATTTAAATCTCATTTTATATCAATTTATAATTGTTACATATTTTATTAGATAATTTTATATTAATATAACTGTTATCTACTTAAATTTTAATAGTAAACAATAAATTAAAAAAAAAAAAAAAAAAAAAAAAAAATCTGTCAAAAGATGAATCTTAAAAGATATTAAAACTCACTATTACAAGTATAATCCATTTTGTGATGTCAGAAAATGCAAGAAAATCTCAGGCAATAGTGTCCACAAAAACCCTCACTTTGAGGGCTTTGGTGCGTTTTTGCAGGAGGGTTCTCTTTTTTCACATTTATATATGTCATTATTAACACTCATTAATTTGCAACCAAAATTTAAATATCAATTTTTTAATTAATTTATCTTTCTGTAACTTCAATCAGTAGCAAATACATAAACTTTTTAATCCTATGTAGTGTAGATTGCCGAACAATAATAACACTCATTAATTTGCAACGAAATTTTAAATACTACTTCACAATAAGAAAAGTTTACATAAGTAATGAAGGATCAATATACCCAACCTTAATTTCCATTTAATTTGGATAACTAATCTCGTCATAATCATCTAATGACAAAAAAACTTCATCCAAACACGAAAGCTCCATCCCATCATCGTCGTGATCATCATTATCATAGTCATGCTCATACACTCGGCATATTACCCAATCCTGAACAATATACATTGAATAGATGATAAAAATTAAATAAATAAAACCCATTTCATCAAATCATTAAATGGAAATTTTAAAAATAGTAACATTTTTTCTGTTAAAGAGATAGTATCTTTTTATATTCGTATCTCTTTATTTGTATCCAGCTAGCTTTCTTTTGTATCTATATATCAATAATATAGGGGTTTTTCACACCCAACCCATTATGACGTCACATATTTGTCTAATTAACAATTTCCACTGAATTTTAAGTGTATGGTATAAAAAGTGCAACGTTTGACTTCATAATATACAAAATAAATTGTATTGGGATCAAGTATTGCTTCGAAACTTATGTAGTCATGAATGTGAGCCATTTCTTTTAAAAATAATTAAATAAGAGGGCATGATGGATTACTTACCATCTTTGAGTTGTCTCTTCTTCTTGATCTAGATGAATTAGCACCATCAGAAACCCTGAATTCTTGCATTATCCAATTGGTTTTTATGCCTTCAGGAGCTTCACCAAGATTGAACACATAATATTTTTTCACGCCAATTCTTTTGCTACCATTTGAAGTAACGATTTGTTCATCACCACCACAAGATTTCCAATATCCATTTGCTGTTACTCGATTCTGCGACCTTCTACTGAAAAAATACCATTTCTTACCTTCCACCATAGCCTTACCTGCAAAACCATATGCATGCATGCATATATGTTCATTAACCATAATTTCCTCCATTTATTTATCACATATATACTGTTAATTTTGGTTTAAAAAAATTTAGATGAAGAAAATAATGAAGATTTCAAGTTACCATCCAAGTCCCAAGGATCATAAGGATAAAGATCAAGATCGGGGATGATGTCGGGGTGGAAAGGCAAGAGAGAGGCTTTACGTTGAAGAAAATGGACCACGAGTTCTTCGTCGGTAGGACAGAATCGAAAACCAGGTGGCAGGCTAACATTTCTGTTGTCACCCATCTTTACTTGGATAAACTTTATGGGGTTTCTTCAAGATTTAACGCTGATGTAGGGTTGTAAATGTGTCCTAAAAGCCTTCCAGTGTGTTGATTATATAGTGTTTGAGATACATATACACATACATATACATAAAAAAAAAATATACATATAAAGAAAGTATATGTGAGTGAGAAGGGTTGACGTGAGATAGAAGTTTCGAATCACCACAAAGAGAGAGGAAAAGGGCAAAATATATATATATATATATATATATATATATATATAATATATAATATATATATATAATATTATATATAATATAATATATATATATATATATATATATATATATATATATATATATATAGTCAAGATCAAATAAGAAGGAAATTTTTGGTAGGAAGGTAAAAAGTTTTTTTTCTACATATTTTTTTCACGAACAAACAAAATGAATCATTAGATGATTCATTTGTAAGATAATTCACAAGAAAAAAAATCTCAAAAAAACATCTCGATGATTCATTTATACAATAATTTTGTTGTTACTCACTAAATTATCATAAAAATGAATTTTTTCTTAATTTACTTAAAAATGAATCATAAAAATGTATTTTTGGGAATTTTTCTTGTGAATAATCTTACAAATGAATCATCTAGTGATTCATTTATTTTGTTCGTCAAAAAAATATGTAGAAAAAAAACTTCTTACCTTCCTACCAAAAAAAATTTCTTACCGGATTTATATATATATATATATATATATATATATATATATATATATATATATATATATATATATATATATATATACTAATAAAAGAATAGTGTTTTGCTATTTGTTATCATATTAAACCTTTTGATTAATGTATTGCTACTTTTCAATTTATTAGTTCCTCATTTTAAATTTATTAAACCTCCCCATTAATGTGATGCTATTTATCAATATATTTATTTTTTATTTTAAATTTGAATTTTATATTATTATTTTCATTAATTCACAAATAAAAAATATCTAATATATATTAAAAATTAATTTTATATATTTATTTTAATCAACAATTATAATTTCACATAACTAATAAAATATCTTTTAAATTAATAATTTATTTAAAATAACTGATTAATAATTTTGAGTTTTTACTATAAAAGTTTAATTAATTTTATAATCGTAGTTCCCACGGGTTATAAACTAGTATATATATATATATATATATATATATATATATTATATATATATATATAAAAGAGTAGTTTATTTGTTATGTGTCAACATGTTAGACGTTGTAATTAATATAATGATACTTGTCAATCTATTGATTATTCATTTTAAATTTCAAATTTCAAAATTTAAATCACATTTTAATTACATTAAATTATTAATATTAGAATAAAATAAAATAAAATTTATACAAATTATAATAAAATAAAATTTATATAAGTTATAAGATGATATATATTACGTATTTATTTGAATCAACGATTATAATTTTATATATAACTAAAAATATATTTTTTAATTAATAAGTTATTTAAAATTATTAATAAATAGTTTTGAGTTTTTTACTTATAAAGTTTAATTAATTTTTTAACTATGATTCCCACGGGTTATAAACTAATATATATATATATATATATATATATATATATATATATATATATATATATATATATATATATATATATGTTTAATTTCCTATTGACAAATGTCATTATAATATAAGTCATCATTAATATTATATATCCCATATAATGCCGCTTGTTAACATTAATTTTTATTTCAAATTTTAAATTTCTGATAGTAATTAGATTAAATTTTGATTTCAAAATTTAAATTTTTTCAGTTTAATTGTATTAAATTAATAACGTTAGATTAACAAATTAAATAAAATTAATACAAATAATAAGATGGTATAACTTTACATATTTATTTAAAACAACGACTATAATTTTATATAACTAAAGGAATCCCTTAAATAATAATTTATTTAAAGTAATTGATTAATAATTTTGATTTTTTAATATAAAAGTTTAATTAATTTTATAATTTTGGTTGTCACGGGTTATAAAGTAGTATATATATATAATATATATATATATATATATATATATATATATATATATATATATATATATATATATATATATATATATATATATATATATATATAAAGGAGCGTTCAATCGAGAATATTTTTTATCGTGATAACATTTGAGAAGAAATTTGGACCACATAATTTTCTTAATTTAAATTATAAAATAATATTCATATAAATCAAAAAAACAGTTACAAACAATTAAAAACCCACTAACTATCATCATTCACCACCTAACCAACACCACCCACTGCCACTACCTACCACCCATCACCACCACCCACCACCACTCACCACCAATCACTACCGACTACCCACCATCGCCACCCACTATCCTCCACCACCACTATTAATCACCACCAACCACCACTCGCCATCACCATCACCCCCACCACGATCATTACCTGTACCACCACCCACCTCCACCACCCATCACCAACACCCGCCACCACTACCCATCACCACCACCCATCACAACTACCTACCACCTATCACCAACACTCGCCACCACCTCCATCACTACCCACAACCACCAACCATCACGCACTACCCACCACCCATCACCACCTACCACCCACTACCACCACCACTCATCACCACCACCACCACCACCACCACCACCACTCACCACCTGTCACCACCATTATCACCACCCAACCACTACCACCCACCACCAACACCTATCACCACCACCCGCCACCAACACCCACAACCACTACCTACCACCCATCACCACCACCACCACCACCCATCACAATCACCATTAACTACCACCCACCACCCATCACTACCCACCACCAACAACCACTACCCATCACTCACCACCCACCAACACCCGCTACCACCACTAACCACCACTCGCCACCACCACCATCACTACCCAACCACCACTACTTGCCACCACCACCCGCCACTACCACCTATCACTACCACTCGAAACCACCACCCATCACCACTACCTACCACCCATCACCACCACCACTCATCACTACCCACCACCACCCAGCACCCACCACTCATCATCACCCACCACTACCAGCCACCACCACCACTAACCATAACTCGCCACCACCATCACCACCCACCGCCATCACCACCCACCCACCACCACCCATCACCACTTACCACCTATCACTACTCACCACCCATCACCCACTACCACCCGTCGCTACCACCACCACCCACCACAACTACCACCTACCACCACCACTCGCCACTACCATCACCACCCACCAACATCACCCTCACCTCCACCTACAAAAACCATCACTCGTCACCACCAAACATCACCACATGCCACCACTACCCATCACCACCACCAACGCCACCACATACCCATCTACAACACCACCACCTACCACCCACCAACCACACAATTAGATACATATGAGTATATATATATATATATATATATATATATATATATATATATATATATAATTACATATTATTTATGTGGAAAAAATTTGCGCACTCAATTATATATGCGCTTGTGTACTTAATCATATATGCTTATATGTATCTAATCACAAATGATTTATATGGACCAGATTCATTTTCGTATTTTCTATTCAATAAATTTTCTTATGCATTTATTAATATATGATTATATGTATTTAATCACAAATGATTCAATATTTTTTCTCGTGTATACAATCACATGTGATTATATGTATCTAATCACATATGATTTATATTGACAATATTCTTTTTCTGTCCTTATAAATCATATATGATTAGATACATATAATCACATGTGATTAGATATATTTAATCACATATGATTAAAGTTGAGAAAAAACAATAATTGAATCGACAACATGATAATGAATCTTGTACACATAAATCATATGTGATTGGATACATATAATCACATGTGATTATATGTATATAATCACATATGATTTGTGGTGGACAAAATTTATTTTTGCCTTGTTGATTCAATAGGTGTGCTCATGTACTTAATCACATACGATTATACATATAATCACATATGATAAAATAAATTAGAACAACTATTAAATCGATAAAGCAAAAATAAATTGTGTCCACATCATTCATATGTGATTAGATTCATATAATCACACGTTATTAGATATATTTAATCACATATGATTAATTTGGATAAAGATTTGTTTTCGTGTTCTTGGTTCAATATTTGTTATTGTGTATATAATCACATGTGATTCTATGTATATAATCGCATATGATTTTTACAGACAAGATTCGTTTTTTCCAAATAAAATCATATGTGATTAGAAAAATATAACAAAATCCGATTAAATGTATTTAATCACATATGATTAAAGTGAAAAAAAAACAATTATTGAATCAAGACCGCAAAAATGAATCTTAGCCACATAAATCATATGCGATTAGATACATATAATCACATGTTATTATATGTATCTAATCACATATGATTTATGTGGACAATATTCATTTTCGTGTTCTCAATTCAATAGTTGTTCTCGTGTATTTAATCACATGTGATTAGAGTTACTAAAAAAGCTATTGAATCATGAACGCGAAAATGAATATTGTTGTAACAACTGATTCTTGGTATGCCTTTTTATTCAATTAGTTTGTGTTTTTCTCTGGGACTCGAGGAGTTGGAGGATCAACTCGTCGAGTAGGATCGTGATCCACGGACATTTAAGTGACCTACTCGACAAGTCGGGTGACTGACTCGGCAAGTAGGTGCTGGGAGAGTGAAACCCTAAATGTAAGGGTTTGCACCCTATATAAACACCTTAACTCATCCTCCCTTGTCCTTAACACTCCCCTAAAGCTGCATATCGAAACCCTAGCCGTTTGTGTGTGTTAAGGCCATTTTAGTGTTCTTGGTTGGCTGTGGAGCTTGGAAGGAAAGAGGAAGCTTGGGATTTTGAGTTGGGACTTGTAGATCCAGAGATCTTACCCCATTTTCAGCTTCATTAGGGTAAATGCCTCTATCTTGACTTATCTATGTGCTTATTCATCGTTGCAATTGGGATTTTTATGGATTTCTAAGCCATTTTCAGATACTGAGGGGTTGAGTGAGGATTGACCTCAGATCTGGGCCTTAAGAGTGGTCTCATGGCATAAAGGTGCCAACTTTACGACCATGAGAGCCCCATGCACATTGTA